GAGACTCGTTTTGGAAAAGGAACTATTTTACAACTACTTTGGACAACACCAAATGAAAGATTTCCCAACAAAGCACACCTGCAGCAAATGCAATCAGCATCATCATACAACTCCACACGACGAACAACGAATACAAAGACCACCATAGCTTAATCCAAACCAGCGAAAAAATAAAGTCAACCATTTTGCCAGCCAAAACAAGATTTCAAGGATCGACAGCTCACTGCTGCTACCTTTACCAATCACATTACGACACCGCAACAAATACCTTAATGTGCGTGCCTTTCTTGATACAGGAAGCACAAACAGCTACATATCGCAACCGACAGCAGCATATTTTCAACGGGAGGAGACTAACCATCAGAAACAACTTCTCATCGGAGGTTTTTCAACTCGCAAACGATAGGGGCTATGACAGTGGATATTACAGTTCAACCAGTTGGAATTAATACTTAAGCGTTTGAATAAAATAATGTTCTAATCAAAGAGCACAACAACTTGCATGCAGCGGAGACCACCTTAAGCATATATGTTTTCCGGACTTCACAAACAACGGCGTCGCCCTCGTGATTGGAATGGACAATATTGACATCATCAGACCAACCACCATCATAAAAGGAAATCAAAAACTTCCTCAAGCAGTCCTTATAGCCTTAGGATTGACAATAGCAGTACCGAACAACGACATCGGATACTTCTCAAGCCATCAAGCAACAGCCACCCCAATACAGATCTCAATTGACAAAACCGAAACCTCGCATCTTCTCGCTTCATTCTGACGAATGAAAAAATACGCTACATTGCCTGAAATAACGATGTCATCGGTTAGAAGACACGTTTTACAAATACTTCGGAAAACCATTTCAATCTATGACAACCGCTACCAACTCGGACTTCTGTGGAAACCAAATGTGAATCTTCCCAACAACTATAAAGCACCAACTGCGCAAAAGCAACAGATTAAATTACAACTTAATGAGAATTCAGAAAAAATTGCCCTCTACGAGGATGCAATAAGATAATCAAAAAAATAAACATAATTTAAGCCAGAAATTTTGTAAGCAATTCTTTGCCAAAAACGAGAAGTGGATGCCGTCTAGGCAGAATTTTTCGGGGGTTAGATTTAAGTTACGATTGGGCGAAACAATGAGCGCGTGTGGAGTAAGAAATTTATTAATAGAATTAAAGAGCATATGGCTATGGATGAGCAGTTTGCGATTAATATCATTGTTATTGGAGCTTTGGATTATTTAAGGGATAATTAGGGATTTGGGCTGAAACTTGTTTGTAATGAGATTGATTAATTTTTTCCCTTTTAACTCAACTTCTCGTGGATGCAACCTATTAACATTAGACCCAGCGATAATGGTTACTGTATTAGGGCGCTTTGTTCTGTATTGTAAAATTGTTTCATACAGATCTTGGAGTGTGGTGCCGCTGGAAGAGTAAATTGTAGATTTTACTAGAGCTCGTTTGATTTATTTTGCCCTTGATGTGCCAATTACAAGCTTCCGTAAAAAGCTTTCGATGTGCCAATAACAACCTTTGCTTAGAATTGGGGCATTAACCTGAAACACAGACAGCGAAATAGTAGAAAAATGGGGGATGGTTGGGCAAAAAAAATTAATTTCAATTTAATTCTGAGAAAATGAAGAAAAAAAACGAAAAAGTTATAGGTGAAACGGTTCAATTTGTGGTCTTGTTGAAGGATAGTTCCACTTGCTCACTCCCTCTTACGTCTAGATGCGCCAGGAAAGCTTCACTCGCCTACGGCTGGGACGGCGAGATTTATTAAGATAATGAGGAGAGGCGCAAAAACGATTTTAAAAAACACAAGTGGTAAAAATGAACAAAAAAAATCTATTAATCACAACAATTTAGCCAATCACAGTTAACCTCTAAAATTTAAACTTAGATTGAAAAACTTTATTTTCTAAAAATATTCAAAAATATTTTTTTATTTTTTTTTCTGGAAAATCCTGAGTCATAATTTCGATTTAGACATGTACATTTTCAAATGAAAACCTACAAGATTTTGGGACTAAGCTTTCAGAGTAAACACCCTGCTCCTAACCTCATCGCGCGTGTTTTAGCCCGGATTGTCTTTCCTGATATCTATTGCCTGTGGTTTTAATAATTTTCTTTGGTTGTTCGACCTAACTTTAATTTCCCAACTAACATCTGCGCTTTTTCCCTCACCGCATCCCTGGAGGTGGAAACCTACTGGCAAGTCTGCTTTCTTATATTCCTCAATTCTGGTGGTCAAATGTCGAACATTTGTCCAAAATAGGAGGAAGTGCATCCCCTCTATGACAGTTTATAAACCAATCTTGACTTGTGGTGATTAAAAAATGCTGACTTCAGCCATGGGAGACAAAATTGTTGCTTTCTTGTAGTGAAAACCACTTGAACGTTGGTTAAAGGTCGAAACCTGCTCGCAAAATATTGGCTTTGGTTACCTCTATTTGCAGAGCCAGCACTGGAGGCTTCACGATGTTTGATGGTTGAAGTGAAGAAATTCTCTGACTATCCACGGGCTTGCGCTTATCATCGATGATTTTGCACAGGGCGTCTGCCACCAGATTTGCGGACCAATTTTCAGTTTACTGATTTATAGGCCATTGCGGGTTTTTAGTTTTCATAGCCTTCTCAAATTGCTTCCAAGTAGATGTACTCCAAAAAATCCATGTACAGTACATTGGATAACACTACGCTTATACTGAGTTGAGGCGCAGCTTCTATAGTTCACTATGTCCTACTATCTGTCGCTTTTTGCTACCAGAAGCAAGTTACACCCCTATCGTGCCATACAATTATGTTCAAATCCAGGAACGGCACACTCCCTCTGAATTAGTTTCCTCTAGAGTGAACTATAGACTTAGATGAAAAGAATTGGCTGCATCGAGAACACAAGTCGGCTCACCTTTGACTGTTCTAACATTGTCATCGAAATTTCTTAGTAACAATTTTACTTGTGGAGTATCTTTCTCATTGCTTTTAGCGCGGCAGCAGGTTTCACAAAACCGGACTGTTTCGGTTATTGATGCGTATACATCATCAGATATTTTTCTGCTTCTGGATGATACCAGTTTTGGCAACTCTTGCATTCAACTACCTTTGATCTATATGTTACTTTCCTGCTGCAACAAGGGCACAAACCGTTTTTGCCATTCATTTGCTGTATCTCTGTTCCCGCGGGTATTTGTTGTTTCAAAGTAAATCCGTACATTTTGAGCACAAATTTTGCAAGAATTGCAGCGAAGGAAGCGCCCATTGCTAGACCATCAATTTGTACATATCAAGAATCATTAAACTTGAATAACACTATGCTGACCGCCATAGTCAAAATCCGATTTAAGGGTTGCTCTTTGACGTTCAGGAGGAGACTTCTGGCTGTAGAGCTTCTGTAAAGCAATTTCAATTGCTTCATTTGGGGCAAAATGGTTATACAATTTTCCACAGCAAAAGATATTATGGTTTCATTCGGATCTAGAGCATTGTTTTCAATTGTTTCTCTGGTGTCATTATATTGGTTTCTATATCGGCTTCATCGTTGTTGTCAAAAGTTTTTGCTAGCGTCGTTAAGATTCTCATAGGAGCTGCCTGGAAGTCATAGTACTGGTCGCAGCCGTGTCTCAGCCTTGTGTGCCTTAGCTAAGCCAAACAAACGGGCTGGTTTTTCCCCATGTTTCTCACCTCTTTTGTTTATGGCAAATAATTCTTTCTTTAAGCTTCTTCTCAATTTTTAGTAACACATCATCGGTGGTTGCCTCTTTTTCAGAAACTGAGCAGATTGCAGCAAAGATTTGATTCATACCTTTGTTTCTTCAGTTTGTGAAAACGAACCCCCTTATCAAAAGGCGCAGCCAGCAACCAATTATCTTTGAGATTTTTCCTCGTGTTTCCAACAGCTTTGTCTCTTGGGGTTTGCCTTTATTTTTTGCGTATGCCTTTGCCGCGGCTTCTATTTCACAAAAAGTTTCATTCGACGTTTTTTAGTTTTCCAACTGTGAGAGGAAAGTTCGCAAAATTTCTCTAATCGGATCCATTGACAGCCTTTCGTGTATTCATCCAGACAGTTCAATTTATCAAGCTTACCAGATTGCTCATTTCTCCCCTTATGAGATTTATCTTGACTCTCGGACAGTTTTTCTAAATGTTTTCTAAACATTTCTGATGTTGTTTTTATGCTTACATCAACTTGACGCCTCACAAAACAGAAAAAAAATGCCCAGCACTGTACGTCAATTTCTTTGTGCACCAGCGATCGGGCTTTTACTTTTATCTCCTCATACCTTTTCCTGTCCTTATTAGCCCTCCTTATTAGACGTTTCAGTCTTTAGTAGTTTTTATTGAACACTACGAGGAGCCTGGTCCAAAAAACTCCGTTTTCGGGGAACCAAAAAGTCCGGTTTTATATCGTTTTTCAGACACTTGCTCAAAATTTTTGGTCTATGTACAGTTACTTGAATTTTTCTAACGAACTCTAAATAGTCTTGCACAATTTTCAAAAAAAAAATCCAAAATCGTCTGATCCAAACAGCAGGCAAAAGTTGGGCGGTGAATTTTTTGCAGGTCAAGAGTGATTAAACTCAAAAGGCACAAAGCAAAACAAATCAAACTCTCCTCACCCCTGTATTTGAAGCGCAGACTCTTCCTCTGCCTATGGCTCCTGCTCACGTCTTGCTTTCGATTTCCTTCTTGTCTCCGATGGTCAATGTTATTTGCCCCAGACATTGGTAACCAGTTTTTTTGTCTACTTCGCAGAGACTTCAGTTCCAATTCACAGAGACTTCAGTTCCAATTCAGCACTCTGGGGCAGCTTCAAAAAATCCTCGAGCTGTTCTGGGTCGTTCTGTTTTCTCTTGAGGTGTAGGCGTTTTGTTGCAGGAAAAATGAGCGCTCCAGTGCCGAGTAGCTGACTAAACAAGTCGGTCGCTCCTTCCCTTCTGCGCTAGACAATTTCCAAAAGCTGGAGATTTCCTTATTGTTGTGAGAATCTTATTAAATAGTGTGTCTGTTCAAATTTACCTCCTGTGTAATTTCATATTAAATGCGCTTTCCTCACTGAAATAATATACCAAATCTGACCGTCCAAGCCGTAGGCGAGTGAAGTTTCTCTGGCGTAATTAGACACAAGAAGGAGTGAGCTGGAGGAACGACCTCGAAAACGATGTCAAGTTGTACCACTCTTTATTCTATTTTTTTCATTCGCCCTTGTCTGAAACCAATTTTTTTCAAAACCTAATTGAAAGGATTCATAAGTTATCCCAAAACTCACCGTGTCTCAATGAACTTCCTTTTTTGCTCCAAATGTCTATGTTTCAGGTGAGTGCCGCGATTCCAGGCTATACGCATTCCTGAGTTTTCACAGAAACTAGTTATCGGGACTTCACGTATCTAATAACATAAACCAGCTCTAGTGAAACCAACAATTCACTCCTAATAATTCATGATCTGTTTGAAACAATTTTGCAATACAGACCAAAGCGCCTAAACAAAGTAACAATAGTTGCTGAGTTTTCGATAACAGGCTTCATCTACCAGAACTAGAACAGCAGTGGAAAAACTTGATTAACCTTGTCACTAATAGGTTTCAGCCCCAGACACTGATCATCCCCATATCACTTCGGAAATTTAAAAGTTCTGAAGTAAATTGCAAAAATCAATTTCATAATCAAGTATTGTTTATTTTGAAAACTAATTTGCACACCCAACCTTATTGTCTCACCTAATCTCAGCCTAACCCCTCAAACATTATCCTTTGATGGCACCCATTTCTCGTTCTACGGTAAGGTTTTCGTCACTAATTTTCTTGCAAACTCAATCTATAAATTCTCTCGCTAACTTCCGTAGAGGCTACTTCCTCAAATGGCTACTCAAAGACGTTGCCTTCTCTCTAAAAACAGATTGCGAGGTAGAGAATTTTGGTGTTTCACATGCACAGGCTACATGCATGTAAAGTGCAGCCACCTAGACGGCAGCAGTGATCCTTATGACAATTTCAGCTCTCATCGCTGCACCTCCCAATTTTACTCACCTAATGGCACATATGAAAGCCATCGCCCAACTTTAGCTACATCAACGCTCACCGAACTCCACCCTCTCGCTTACACTGCCCCACTTCCAAAAAAATTCAAAAGAACCTTCCACTATAGAACCTGTAACAACACAAGACTTATGGTCAAACCCCAGTCCAGATTTCATAGAATTCATAAAGAAATTATACAGCCAAGTGGTCCACTGGAAACTTGCCATCAAGCAGCAAGCACTGGAAACTTGCCATCAAGCAACAGCCACCCCAATACAGATCTCAATTGACAAAACCGAAACCTCGTAACTTCTCGCTTCCTTCTGACTAATGAAAACATACGCTACATCGTCTGAAATAACGATGTCATCGGTTAGAAGACACGTTTTGCAAATACTTCGGAAAACCATATCAATCTATGACAACCGCTACCAACTCGGACTTCTGTGGAAACCAAATGTGAATCTTCCCAACAACTATAAAGCACCAACTGCGTAAAAGCAACAGATGAAATTACAACTTAATGAGAATTCAGAAAAAATTGCCCTCTACCAGGATGCAATAAGATTATCAAAAAAATAAACATAATTTAAGCCAGAAATTTTGTAAGCAATTCATTATCAAAAACGAGAAGTGGATGCCGTCTAGGCAGAAGCTTTCGGGGGTTAGATTTAAGTTACGATTGGGCGAAACAATGAGCGCGTGTGGAGTAAGAAAATTTTTAATAGAATTAAAGAGCATATGGCTATGGATAAACAGTTTGCGATTAATATCATTGTTATTGGAGCTTTGGATTCTTTAAGGGATGATTAGGGATTTGGGCTGAAACTTGTTTGTAATGAGATTGATTAATTTTTTCCCTTTTAACTCAACTTCTCGTGGATGCAACCTATTAACATTAGACCCAGCGATAATGGTTAATGTATTAGGGCGCTTTGTTCTGTATTGTAAAAGTGTTTCATACAGATCTTGGGGTGTGGTACCGCTGGAAGAGTGAATTTTAGCTTTTACTAGAACTCGTTTGATTTATTTTGCCCTTGATGTGCCAATTACAAGCTTCCGTGAAAAGCTTCCGATGTGCCAATAACAACCTTGCCTGGAATTGGGGCATTAACCTGGAACACAGACAGCGAAATAGTAGAAAGATGGGGGATGGTTGGGCAATGAAGAAAAGAGTTCAATTTAATTCTGAGAAAATGAGAAAAAAACGAAAAAGTTATAGGTGAAACGGTACAATTTGTGGTGTTGTTGAAGGATAGTTCCACTTGCTCACTCCCTCTTACGTCTAGATACGCCAGGAAAGCTTCACTCGCCTACGGCTGGGACGGCGAGGTTTATTAAGATAATGAGGAGAGGCGCAAAAACAATGTTAAAAAACACAAGTGGTAAAATTGAACAGAGAAAAATCTATTTATCACAACAATTTAGCCTATCACAGTTGACCTCTAAAATTTAAACTTAGATTGAGAAACTTTATTTTCTAAAAACATTTGGAAAAATTTTTTTATTCTTTTTTTCTGGAAAATCCTGAGTCATAATTTCGATTTAGACATGTACATTTTCAAATGAAAACCTGCAAGATTTTGGGATTAAGCTTTCAGTGTCAACACCTTGCTCCTAACCTCATCGCGCGTGTTTTAGCCCGGATTGTTTTTCTTGATATCTATTGCCTGTAGTGTTAAAAATTTTCTTTGGTTGTTCGACCTAACTTTAATTTCCCAACTAACATCTGCGCTTTTTCCCTCACCGCATCCCTGGAGGTGGAAACCTACTGGCAAGTCTGCTTTCTTATATTCCTCAATTCTGGTGGTCATATGTCAAACATTTGTCCAAAATAGGAGGAAGTGCATCCCCTACATGACAGTTTATAAACCAATCTTGACTTGTGGTGATTAAAAAATGCTGACTTCAGCCATGGGAGACAAAATTGTAGCTTTCTTGTAGTGAAAACCACTTGAACGTTGGTTAAACCTCGAAACCTGCTTGCAAAATATTGGCTTTGGTTACCTCTATTTTGCACAACCAGCATTGGAGGCTTCACGATGTTTAATGGTTGAATTGAAGAAATTTTCTGACTATCCACGGGCTTGCGCTTATCATCGATGATTTTGCACAGGGCGTCTGCCGCCAGATTTGCGGACCAATTTTCAGTTTACTGATTTATAGGCCATTGCGGGTTATTAATTGCCATAGCCTTCTCAAATTGTTTCCAAGTAGATGTACTCCAAAAACTCCATGTACAGTACCTTGGATAACACTACGCTTATACTGAGTTGAGGCGCAGCTTCTATAGTTCACTATGTCCTACTATCTGTCGCTTTTTGCTACCAGAAGCAAGTTACACCCCTATCGTGCCATACAATTATGTTCAAATCTAGGAACGGCACACTCCCTCTGAATTAGTTTCCTCTAGAGTGAACTATAGACTTAGATGAAGAGAATTGGCTGCATCGAGAACACAAGTCGGCTCACCTTCGACTGTTCTAACAATGTCATCGAAATTTCTGAGTAACAATTTTACTTGTGGAGTATCTTTCTCATTGCTTTTAGCGCGGCAGCAGGTTTTACAAAACCGGACTGTTTCGGTTATTGATGCGTATACATCCTCAGATATTTTTCTGCTTCTGCATGATACCAGTTTTGCAACTCTTGCATTCAACTACATTTGATATATATGTTACTTTCCTGCTGCAACAAGGGCACAAACCGTTTTTGCCATTCATTTGCTGTATCTCTGTTCCCGCGGGTATTTGTTGTTTCAAAGTAAATCCGTACATTTTGAGCCCAAATTTTGCAAGAATTGCAGCGAAGGAAGCGCCCATTGCTAGACCATCAATTTGTACATATCAAGAATCATTAAACTTGAATAACACTATGCTGACCGCCATAGTCAAAATCCGATTTCAGGGTTGCTCTTTGACGTTCAGGAGGAGACTTCTGGCTGTAGAGCTTCTGTAAAGCAATTTCAATTGCTTCATTTGGGGCAAAATGGTTATACAATTTTCCACAGCAAAAGATATTATGGTTTCATTCGGATCTAGAGCATTGTTTTCAATTGTTTCTCTGGTGTCATTATATTGGTTTCTATATCGGCTTCATCGTTGTTGTCAAAAGTTTTTGCTAGCGTCGTTAAGATTCTCATAGGAGCTGCCTGGAAGTCATAGTACTGGTCGCAGCCGTGTCTCAGCCTTGTGTGCCTTAGCTAAGCCAAACAAACGGGCTGGTTTTGCCCCATGTTTCTCACCTCTTTTGTTTATGGCAAATAATTCTTTCTTTAAGCTTCTTCTCAATTTTTAGTAGCACATCATCGGTGGTTGCCTCTTTTTCAGAAACTGAGCAGATTGCAGCAAAGATTTGATTCATACCTTTGTTTCTTCAGTTTGAGAAAACGAACCCCCTTATCAAAAGGCGCAGCCAGCAACCAATTATCTTTGAGATTTTTCCTCGTGTTTCCAACAGCTTTGTCTCTTGGGGTTTGCCTTTATTTTTTGCGTATGCCTTTGCCGCGTCGACGTTTTTTAGTTTTCCAACTGTGAGAGGAAAGTTCGCAAAATTTCTCTAATCGGATCCATTGACAGCCTTTCGTGTATTCATCCAGACAGTTCAATTTATCAAGCTTACCAGATTGCTCATTTCTCCCCTTATGAGATTTATCTTGACTCTCGGACAGTTTTTCTAAATGTTTTCTAAAAATTTCTGATGTTGTTTTTATGCTTGCATCAACTTGACGCCTCACAAAACAGAAAAAAAATGCCCAGCAGTGTTCGTCAATTTCTTTGTGCACCAGCGATCGGGCTTTTACTTTTATCTCCTCATATATTTTCCTGTCCTTATTAGCCCTCCTTATTAGACGTTTCAGTCTTTAGTAGTTTTTGTTGAACATTATGCAGAGCCTGGTCCAAAAGACAGCGTTTTCGGGGAACCTAAACTTCAAAAAGTCCGGTTTTATGTCGTTTTTAGACACTTGCTCAAATTTTTT